AAGTGTGAGACACATTGATTTGGATGATGTTGAGACATTTCCCACAGACATCGGTCAACAATAGTTGGGCCAGCCCAACTGCTGCACTACAGTTGGTTGGGACTGTCCCAACTGTAGTTGGGACTTATTCTACAAGTTATCTTCACTCTCTAGAAATTACGCCCACAGCTACACAAAGACCGCCAGGTCCTATTCAAAACTTAACTACAGGGGTTTTCGTGATCTGCGCATGCGCCCGACTAAAATCCAAACTATAGTATAGGGAATTTACGCACAGTTGAAGAATTCCAGCCTAAAATTCAATGAAGCCATTTTTGATTGTAAAAAAACTCTATTTACTTAATTTGGCCCATAGGAATTTAAAACAATGCAGTTGCAACAGTTGAAAAGAACAGATAGCAGTACCGTATGGTGTACTATTTACGACAAACATTTCTCTCTCTCTCTTGCCTCCCTCCAGGCGACGCAGCCAGACGACGCGACCGCACGACGGCCCCTTTGCGTCGTGCCGTCGGGTCGCACTGTCGCCTTCTTGCCACTACTTTTGTACACACACGACGCGTCGCGCGTCGCGTCGTGCCGTCGCATCGTGCTGCCTTAGGTCCTTTCCATGTTGCATTTACTGCCGCCTAAACGTCGCCCCTTCCGTCGCCCGTCGCGTCGTACCGTCGCCCGTCGCGTCGTACCGTCGTGCGTCGCGTCGTATCGTTTATCGCGTCGCCTATTACGTTGACTGAAGCACGACACGACGCCCTTTGCTTCTTGGTGTTTATAGAGGGCGCCTTTACAGTTTTCTTTTATTTACGCCCCCGCACTGGCATAGTACGGTACAGTCCACTAATTAAAGCTCCATTGAAAAAAGTGTAGAATCGGCACTGTTCAGGGCCCAATAACATGGATACCAACTTTCTTGAGATTGCTGAAACACAAATGAAATTATTGTCTGGTACCTAATCTTTCGATTTTTTGTGGATTAACCAATTACATTTTTACTTATTCTCACTAAACAAAATCAGCCCCCGAAAAGTGATTTTTCCGAAGTCTGATTGCAGCCATTTTTCAAGTGGCAACCCTCAACCTTCTTGGGCACTTAGGACCATTTTTCAGCTGTAGTTTTTCAGCCATTCTGCTCTCAAAAAATAGCTCAAAGACGCAGGCAGTTGATCCCGGCAACGATTTACACATTTTCACCATTTCAGGGGCCAAACAATCCCCTTTTTTCAGAGAAATGCTGGGCTGCTACTTTTAATGCTAATGAGCTGACCAGAAATCCTCACTTGAATAGTGAATTGCCTGCACCCAGTACATGGTATTCGCTCTTTGTACGCTGCCGCCATGGGCATGCAGAGCCTTGAACTGACAGCTTTTGAAATATTGTCCAATTGTAGAGTATAGATGGCAGAAGAACCAACGCAGCACCATGCTCAAAATTACTTACCAACATACACGGAAAAAGCTGCCAGATCGAGGCTCTGCGTGTCTATGGCGGTAGCGCACACAGAGCGAATAGGTAGCAGGTCTTGTTTCTGTTGTTCTTTTTAATGCATGCTTTCTAACTTTGTGTTTCCATTAAGAGTGAGTTGTGAAAGAACAGGTTTGTTTGTTTTTTTAATCAAATGTAATTAGAAAGAGCGTCACGACCAACTATCAACCTTATCTCCAGGAAATAAATAACATGAGCCACGACGTTGTTTTAACTTTTCCTGCTCTAATTTTGATCTTCCTAATTATTATAAATGTAATAGAATTAATTTTGTTGCCCTACTTTTTGAAATCCTAACTCCCCCAGAATTAGGTCATACAATTTGTGCAGGTTGCTTGGCAGCGCGTGTGGGCAGTTGGTAGCAGAACTTGCAAGCAGCCACACGAGTCCTTGAGAAGGAGCTGATAACTTCCCTAGCTAGTGACCTTCCTGGCACACTTCACTTGACTACTGGACTGCACAGAGACAGTTTTGTTGTCTCTCTGTGATTTCTCCTTCCACCGAACCCGCCATACTTACAAATTCGTCCCTGTCCTGCTCTAGGCAAAAACATTACCAGTGTAAGCCTATTGAACCACACATGCATACGTTGCTGGACAGGGGGTGGTCTGGACCAGAGCCACATGAATTCCGTTCCGAAACCTGACTTAGTCGAGGGGAAGGAAAGACTGTGCACTTGAACCCTAAACATGATATAGCCCAACACATCTTCGCCATCCATTCAAGCTCTTTTACTGCAAGCCTGTCTACTGCAAACTCTACAGCTACTTGTGAAGTCAAGACAAGCCAAGTCGTCCCCAACTTCAGCAATAGATCGTCTTCAAGCTAGGCCCTTTATCTATTTTCACTGCTAATTCATAATTTTTCTGTTAAATAGAATCCCTGTTTTTTCTCATTATTAAAAGATGCTTTCTCTAACGTGAGGGTATTTGTATTTTCGTAAACCGTGCGAAAACTTTTCACTACATTAGCCGGAAACGAATTAATTCTCACTGGTTGGCTGATAATAAAAGGCGTAAACTAGTAAACAAAGAAATAATGTTAGCAGGTGTCATGATTGTCATATTATGTCCGCTACAATATTTCTTAATCTATTTTAAGATACAATACATTAATCATTATAACGTGCTTGTTAATGTCAGATGCGGATCAGAGGAGAAATTATACATGTCTGTGGCCAAACAGACTTAAAAAAAAAAAGACACAGCCACAATGATAATAGCGTATGTATAATGTTTTATTCAGAAACATGGACTAATATCTTTGAAAGTGTGGTGCTGATGAAGGTAACGAGAAAGACTGGCCTGAAGGAAGACTACGACGGAATAATCTGAGGCTATTATAGAGCAGGCTCGGTGACAACTTCCTAAACCCGTGGTCAAACTTGCAGTCGTACAATTATAGACAAATTGTCTGGGGAATTGGGAGTAGTACTTAGAAATTACCGGGATGGACCACGGAGAGAGAGAGAGAGAGAGAGAGAGAGATACACACATATATACACATCTATATACACATCTATATATAATCTATAAGATTACAAATCTACCACAAGCGGGAACTGCATCAAAGGTATTAAAAAGAAATCATTGGCTGGGTTTAAAGAGTGACGAATTCTGGGCTTCCACTTATTATGAGAGAGCAGTTCCTACATATGCCGATTTTCTTTTTGTTCTTTTTTCTTTTCTTAATAAAACATGACCAAAATTAACCCTAATCGAGGAATGGATGAGATAAAAACAAGAACAAATCAACACCAAAGAGTAAACAGCATGTACTTTGCAAGCACGGGGGACAGAAATGAAAGAAAACAGTAAAAGCGCCCTCAATAAACACCACGAAGCAAAGGGCGACAGCACACGACGCGTCGCGTCGTGCGTCGTGTTATGCGTCGCGTCGTGCTTCAGGCGACGTAATAGGCGACGCGATGTACGACATGACGTACGACCCGACGCACGACGGTACGACGCGAGGCGTCGTGTGTGTACAAACGTAATGGCAAGAAGGCGACGGTGCGACCCGACGGCACGACGAAAGGGAGCCGTCGTGCCGTCGCATCGTGTCGTTGCGTCGCCTGGAGGGAGGCAAAAGAGAGAAAGAAATGTTTGTCGTAAATAGTACACCATACGAACCGGATAGAGTGCCGAAGGGAATGTGTTTCACGCACCCTTCTGTGTGTAAAAAGCATTAGCGAGAGTACCTGCGCGTGAACCAACTTGCGCGCGTACTCAATTCATTTGTACAGCATCTATTGGTTCTAAATGACGTCACATTTCGCATGACTGGCGATGTATGTGCAGCTAGCTGGAGCTCTAAGGTTGCACAGCATCAAATACCCGCCCATAGAAAACAGACTGCAAACCGGGCCGAAATAGCGCCGCCTGTTGACTCTCAGGAGGAGGTTGGACTCCAGTTTTTGACTGGAAATTCAAGATGATGGCAAGATGTTCACTTTCCGATTTTTTAGGCGCCTTTCCCCGAAGATACCCTGAAAATAGTAGCAAAACTTTGCGCTCAGTTCTGAATGTAGCCACCCGCCTCTATCCAGGCCCACTGGTTGGGGCTTTTTGTGAAAGAAATACTCCGAATTTTAAACTACTAGACCCCGCAAAATCGTGATTTATAGAAATATCTCTATGATCCCTCCTGATTATGGCATGTCTTATTGTAAAAACCCTGTGGGATCACACAATATTAATTACCTCGCGTGCAGAAACACAACTATTTGGTGGAATGCACCCTAAAGGGTACAAGCCCCATAGAAAACAGTGTAAAATCAGAACTTTATAGGTCCCAATAACATGCATACCAAATCCCTGAAATTTCTGAAACACAAATTAAATTATTGTCTGGTCCCTAATCTTTTAATTTCTTTCATTTTTTGTGGGTTAACCAATTACATGTATTAATTATTTCCACCAAACAAAATCACTTCCCCCAAAAAGTGCTTTTTCCGAAGTCTAATTGCAGCCATATTTTCAAGTGGCAATCCTCAACTTTCTCGGACCATTTTCACCGTATGTTTTAGCCATTCTGCTCTCACATGAAAGCCCCAAAACCCAGGGAGTTGATCCTGGCAACGATTTACACAATCTCAACATTTTGGGGGCCAAACAATCTCCTTTTTCAAGTGATACTGCGAGGGCTCTTTTAATGCTTCATGACCTGACCTGGTCATTTGAATTAGTAGACTGCACCCTAGCCCTAAAAGACCGAATTTGGTCGTAGACATGGACTACTACTACATGTACATGTACAATGTACATGTACATGTGCACGTAATGCGGTGAAAACAGCACCTTGCTCACAACAATGTCATACAAATGCAGCTGGTGGGAAACCCGGGATCCTTGAAAAGAGAAACACGTACAATTTTTGTTCACTCTGTGGCCAAGGTTAGTCTTTGTATCCTCCCTCAGTTTTGATCTGAATCTACACGAGCGTGTTCTGTTTCGAGAAATTTGAAGACACAACACGTTGGCCCTACCAGGTACCTTGTAAAGATGTATTCTTATGAGCCGCCGCGCCTTAGACCCTCGTGATGTTAATGCGATGATGGCCAGCTGGTAGTGGTTCCTCAAATTATTCCTCCATGCTCAAATCCGAGCATCAATGGGCCGGGAGTGAAGTCGCTGGCACGCGTTCAGGTGACCACGGAGGCCGTTTCTAGAGCGGCGTGCTCTGGAACGCCTTTGGGCATGGGAATGCTTGGGTGTTAGGGCAGTTGATGCCTTCTTAATACTCTGCAGCTTCTTTGTCGGTGTTTTCGAACACTTTGGCCTACATGTATAAGTTACATTATGTATAAGTGCATAATGATAAATTAATCTGGCTTCCTAACATAAGGGTGCATTTTTATCAAGTGGTTGTATTTCTGCACAAGCTCATTAATATTGTGTGATCCCACAGGGTTTTTACAATAAGACATGCCATATTCAGCAAAGATCATAGAGATATTTCTATAAATCATGACTTTGGGATTAGTAGTTTGAAATTCACAGTGTTTCTTTCACAAAGAGCCTCAACCTGTGGCCAACAGTATTGAATTAGAGGCGGGCAGCTACATTTAGAGCTGAAAGCATAGTTTTACTGCTATTTTGGGGGTATCTTCAGGGAAAGGCGAATGAAAAAATTTGTGTTGCCAACCCCAAAAGAATTGAAATGAAAAGTGAACTTCTGGCCATAATCTTGAATTTCCAGTGAAAAACCAGAGGCAAACCTCTTCCCAAGAATCAACAGGTGGCGCTGTTTTGGTTCAATTTTGCTCTGTTGTCTATGGGCACGTATTTGGTGCAGTGCAACTTAAATGATTCCTGACAAGCATTGATCTCCATGGATAGGACACAGGCCCCTCCATCTCGTGAAATTGCGCTCGTCTCATCAAACCGGTGCTAGGGCCGAGTCAATTCATATATATTACTATTCGAATATTCCACCTTCAATTCAGTTGCATATCCATATATTTGGTAGTACCAACCAGCAGATTTTTGATGAACAAACCATTGCAAAATCAGATGCAATAACGCCCACAATTGTACATTATAATCACTATAATACCTTCTCACATCTTTGAGTAATCTCCAACCATGATTAAGTAAGATTTAAGAGATGAATAATATTTCATGACCAGTGGAAATTGCATATTCCTTTTAAAATATTTAATGAATAATGTACTTTTTGAATCTTTGTAAGGTGTCTGACGCTTTTTGTTTGAATCTGCTTGGAACAAACCTCCTCAGTGCAATTGGCCATTACGTAAACCAACCTGAGCAACTTATTCCTGATTATAATGTACCAGGTCACATAGGTGAGTCTTGTTGTCTCATTGCACCCTGTTTAAAACAGGGAGCAACTAGCTTAATTAATTGTTTTGTACTACAGGCAGTATTGGTAAAATTATTTTTAGACTTTAAATATACCTTGAAATCTATCATTAAACTGCTAAATGTCTTCTGTATTGAGGTAAGTGAGCCCATGTACACTTTAGTGGTTAATTTTGAGTGTTTTTTCCGCCTTGTTGATTGGTTACTTGGAACCCACAATTTATACTGGTGGGGGGTCCTCCTTTGATTTCGTTACAATACCATGTATTCCATTCAAGATCAAACACCACTTCTTACTGGTCCACTCACCATCACTTGCATGCCCAGTAATTGATAAACACACGGACTGGAGCAAGTCAGTGTTTTATCAATTACAAGGCATACATTTGATCGTGAGTGGAGCAGTATGGTTTTGATCTTGAATTCATGTGTATGCAGTATGGTACCTTCAAACCTTGTTTTATCTGTGCACCTTGTGTTTTCACCTTGAGTCAATCCCATGCTTCATGTATACATGTATTTGCATTGTTGAACTGAGTGTTCATTTTGATATGAAACGATACGTTGCATCGTGCTACAGATTTCGTCTATGAGAAATTTTTTAGAAAGAACGGACATATTGCAAGCCACCGGATTAAAAAAATAACTGAAGGTGCGACAGATAACGGTCTTTCTGCCACTTTGTTTCGTTTTATTATGTTGTGTCATCACATTTAATCCACTCTGTGTTATATTTTGAGAAAAGGGTCTTCACTTATCCTGTACATGTACATGTATATAAGGACTGTAATTGTGACAATTAAGTGGCATGCGTCACGAATTGCTTCATAGATAACAAGTGGTCACTTACGTGTACTATCCAAGGTACCGCTTTCTGCCAGATACTTGGTATTGTCCATCAGCTTAGAAGTGGTTTGAGTTCGACTTTGAATTGCTTGCATTAATATTCTAGTGAAATCAAGTCTAATGAATATAATCCGTAAGCTTGCCCTTTGTTGTGCAGTACTCACTGTGAATGTATGTGTGTTGTACCCATAAGACAAGCTCATTGACTGAATCATCAGAAGGCTCACTGCATGTACATAATCGTATTTGCACTTTTGTATAATTTTTCTAATATTGGAATGCGCTTGTCTGAAAATATAATCCGGCTTTTTCTATAACTTTACAGTGTGTATGTTTGTTGTGAGCGCAAGATTTGTTTTTGTTTATTTTATTGTGAAATTGACTGGCTTCCTTATTTCTTGCTGATATTCTTTTGAGGATGTGCAAAGAGGTGGGCAAACTTCAGAAGCTAATTGGACTGTGCAGTCGCTATGGATACCTCCATCCTTCAGGTGTCAGGGGTTGTTATGACTATGGACCCCTTGGAACAATGTTGAGGCGCAACATTCAGAATGAATGGTAGGCTTATAAACAGAAAACTAGGTTTCTCTGAAAAGGTATTATGTCAGTACAATTTACAGTATAAAACCAAGACAATAAAAGCATGCCCGTGAAATATATGTACATGTACATGCAGTAGACCAGCATATTAAAACCCAATCCCAATCTCTAAAGAGCAACTCAAAGGAAAGCATGTTTTCTCTAATTTTTATCAAATATTCCATCTATCTATCTATCTGTCTGTCTGTCTGTCTGTCTGACTGTCTGTCTGTCTGTCTGTCTGTCTGTCTGTCTGTCTGTCTGTCTGTCTGTCTGACTGTCTGTCTGACTGTCTGTCTGTCTGTCTATCTATCTATCATACATATATGTATAACAAGCTAAAAAGGACTTTTTTTCTTTTCATGCCAAGATGCAATTTCTGATCATGCTGAATGTAGATTGCGTCATTCTGAGAAAACAGAAAACGAGGGGAATCCTTGCCCTGTGCTCGTAGTGGATAAACCCTTGTGCATGCCAAACAATGGCTACAAAGAATGGCTATGTGTACATGCATGCACAAATGAACGCAGAATTCTCAGAATGACGCAATCAACATTCAGCATGTTCAGAATCCATGTCTTTACATTTTGAAACACTTCAGCACCCGGTCAAATCAAAGGAACTCTCAAAGTCAGCGAACTCAAAACTGCACTTTCTTCATTACTGCCAAAGGATTAATTCTTTGTGGTAACAATGTGGTGACCACACTGGATGGAGGAAGCTTTGTGCGTACTGCATCTTTAGCCTTGGTGCCGCTGCCTGCTCAACTTCAGCGCTGGCGCGCCACTCACATGGTGACCGTCCAATCACAACCCTTTACAGCACTAAGTGAGATGCACCCCGTCACGGTGCTGCAAATGTGCTTTTCGTATAGCCAAATCTCACTTGAATAAAAAAGGTTAAAATTTACTTTCTGGTATTTTTCTCCAGGGTGTATTCTGCTGGTACATGCATCATATCGAATTCCATTAATTCCTGCTTTATCCATTTTTGAGAACAGGCAAAAGCATAAACAGACCCCTATTTAGTGTTTGAGCGAGCAGAAAAAATTCATAGCGCTATCCAGTCCTGCCCAAGGTTTAATTTGTTTAAACATCGAACAAAAATGTACAGCTGTTTTAATACTTAATATCATGATTTTATCTGACTTGGACGCCAATTCACCAAAAAATATGTTGGAAGAGAAATGATTATTTTCAAGTGGCTGGGCAAGTCCTGATGAAAAAAAATTCTAGAATAAATCCACTCCAGCTCTGCAAAAAAAGAAATCTCCTAAGGAGTGATTGACAGCTCTATTGTTCTGTTACACACAATGTATACTTTTAAGTATTTGGGTCTGGGCCACACATCTTTGGAGATGCTTCTATTTCTAGAAAGACTTGCTGGGTAAATGTATTGATTGTAAATCCTCAGCCAATTGCAACATGTACTAAGTTGATTCTTTGCAAGCAGAGCAGCCATTGGTGGAGTTGTTACACTTAAGCAGTCCCAGAGTATATCTGTTGCCAAGAAACAGTATTACCATTGAAAAACCTGGACCCCCTTGGGCACCCAGCCTGGACCATGCCTAGCCCCCATCCAGGCTTTTTTTTTAGCAGTGAGGGAATTACTACTTTGCTGTACAACCCTGGATAAATTAAATAATATTCCTTCATGTCCTTTTCTTGACATTAATTTGTGGCAAATACATGTAGGATAGGATGTAGACATTTTCCAAGCCTCCAAATGCATAAACGTCTTCCACAAAACATTTCATCTTTTTTAAAGAAAGAAAATATTCCACTGAACAGGCTAAATGAATTCCTCATAATTACACAGTGATAAATTGCATCCATCTCCCCTCTGTTCTCTCTCTCTTTCCCTCTCGTAAGTCCTATGTCGTCAATAATAGGACATACACACAAATATGCATTGTTGTTTAGCTACATACCTGCCAAAACTCCCTTGTTTGGCTGAAACTGAGCTGACTTGTGGCGGCCTTTATTGTGTTGGCCAAACGTTTAAACGGCAAATTGAAATGTTGCTTAAACGTTTAGCAAATTAAATGCAAATTCCGAACCATAGTTTGTGGGTACAACATGGTACTATCTGTTCAGAATAGGTGTGGTTCTGAGAAGAACCGTCAAGTATAAACTGGATGTTTTGGCCAGGATGCTCTGGCCATCTCAAGAGAGTGAGGACGGCCAGAACCACACCTCTTCTGAAGAGATAGTTCCCATGGTGTACCAGCAAACCTACAGCTTACGCAACATTCCCAAGCTTGTATGCAGTCTAGGCAACTGTCTCCCAAAGAGAAGCCATTCTGATTCTAAACTCAATGCTAATTTGATTTTCTAACTTGAGTTCAGTCATACTTAATGTAATTTCTGTTTTAAAGGTGGACAAGCATGGTCTCCTCCCAGGAGGACATGTTTGGCTTAGAGACCTCACAGCTGCAGACAACTATCTTCAGAAATGCAAACTACACAGATGACCTATCGACTAATTCAAATGATCATCACAGACTCTTCGTTGTTCCAAGTACCAATAGAGCCCAAGCACTATTACCCGCAGATGAAGAGAATGAGGGAGCAGAGATTGGAACAACTTCCAAACATAGGGTTCAAAGAAAGATGGACAGGACACTTCGTGATTCCCTTAGCTATGGTAAAAGTATTAAACATATTTAATTCTGTGATATACTGTACGTGTACATATAGACCAATCCAGTAGTGTTGGGCAAATCCAGCCTTTTTATAATCGATGCTGAATCATGATTCCAACTGAAATCACTTCAAATTTTCACCAGTGCCAGTGTACGGTGTGTAGAAGATGTCGTCCTCCAGTTGGGTGCATTTGGTGGATTCTTTATGGCATTCATTAAAATCCACCAAGACATTAAATGGCACTGTAGAACATGACTGATTGATTATCCACTTCCTGCCAAGGCAGTTATCAACGTTGATGCTGGGCTGGGATATTTATCATTTTTTCTGTTTTCAAACTTCTTTAAAATTCCTATCTTCATTTACTGGACACTTACAAACACATGAAGGACTGTCTGGTGCCACTCTAGTCTGACAGACAAAAATTTGTTGACGCCTGAGTATTTCAACCAGGCCTGCAGCCTTATAAAAAGAGCCCAGATTGTGCAGTGTTATATAACTTTCTTTTGTTCACAAACCTGGCTCAGTGTGCTGCTGACTTCTTTTCAATAGGGGCCAGATTAATATGCAACAAGGCTATGTGGCTCATTGCTGCGGTGGTGGAGCACTTTTTACCCGGTGGTAATCCGCTCGCTCTAAATGCCCCAAACCGTGGTATACTGTTTCAAAACAATGCTGGATTATCTCCACTTTTTAAAGCGAAAAAGTGTTGGTGATTCCCAGCAGCCTGGTATTTTGTTCCGAGTACGGTCTTTTGTTACAAGGCCCTGTTCCCTTTGTCTGAGCTTGGAGACCCCGGCCACGCATTTAAAGCATACGTGTCCGGATCTGGAATCCCCAGCAGGAAGTGGTTATCTACCTCAATTTTTTTAAAATAGAAAAATATTAACTTGACAGCAGCACACAGCTTAAGGAAAAAAGATCAAATATCTGCAAAACCCCTTTATACAAATCCTGGTATTTTTGTCATTTTGTAAATGGTACTTAGCCTGTAGTTTATTCCATGATGTTCCAACAAATGTGCATGTACATGTAAGCTTGTTCAATCAATGAGGTGATAAGGTGATTTCCAACATCAGTTGCATGAAAGAATAAAAAATACATTTGTGGTTCTTGTATCAAAATCCTTTAAAAATTACATGCATTTCAATTTTTTCATATCAGGAATCAGTGTTGAGTTCACGAGGCAGCAAAGTTTTTCAAAGTAGATCTATTTTGTTATCTCGTTATGAATTATTCTTCTTCCAAGTGATGCACCAGTTGCATATACTGGAAGGCCCAGGCACATTGAAATTAGAAGTAGTTACAGTTTTAGAGGTGGGAGGAAAACCCCAAAGGAATATTCTGGTTAAAACCCAGGGAATCGGGTAGGGCTTAAAAACCCAATCCAGGTGTGGACCGAGGTGGGAGTCAAACCCAGACCGCAGAGATTGAAGGCAAGGAAAGAAAAACTGTGCCAATCTGAATCTCCCCCAACCTGACTCCCCATATTCTACTTCCGTTTGTATTCCACTTCAGTTTCAGTGTTGGAGGTCTAGAGGCCGGCCTCGAAGCTAGTTTTTCAAAGCCTTGGCCTCGCTGTCCAATGACTCGGTCTTGGCCTTGGCACCCTGTGGACTCGAAGAAGCAGTAGAGATCGTTTTGAGGCCGGTCGTTTTGAGTCAGTTATCCGAGCTTTTACTTTCCCCCAAGATTTTATTATAACAAAGTACTGTACTTGCAACGTGCATGTGCCGTGGGGATGGATCATTTTTTGTGTACAAACACATGGTACGGAACCTGGACTTCCCAATGACGTAATGCAGCTATACAGTTTTTCATCCCTAGGGAACACACTTCCATTGATTGTCGCATGAAAAGGAAAGCTTTTCAGTTGCGTGAATTAGGCTACATGTACTCATTGAAATCGTTTCTCTAGTTCCGGATTGCTTGAAATATAAACCTACCTCTTTTTTGTCAGTTCTAAATTCCAAGACAAGTACTGCTTGAAAGGTGAAATGTGAACTTTCTGTACAAAATTTGTTCTCGGAAAATTTCTAGAAAAGACATTTTTGCCAGATTTCCTATTCACACTTTGACAGTTTTGAATGTTTGTCAAAAATCATGGAGCCAAGAATCAACAACAATTTACAGGGAGATACTGTAGGTCACTCACTACCTGTAACATGATTCCAAATACGTTTTTCATACTCAACATTCATATAAACTTTTGCATGTAATGTCTGTTTAATTAAAATGACTTCTAGATTTTCTGTTAGTTTAAAATTGGCCAGAAACTGAACATAATTTTTCCCCTAGTTTTTTTCCCGGATTGCAAATGATCTGCATGCAAATACGTTATGAACTCAACTACTTGGATGCAGCAAAAATATATATGTGACGTAATAGTATCTCTAACACTCAAGGCAGAGTACTGATCAGATTTCACCAGAATTTGAGGTTTTTTTGTGGCTGGCATGTGACGGAATAATTTTCGTGATCTACTAGGAAAACTACAGTAAGAAAACGACTGATTATCATTTTTGGAAGCACTCCTTATTTTTCTTTCATTTCTGATTGCAAAATGGTTATTTTCACTCAAATTGATATGGTTGCAGGACTATTTTGGCAACTGTGTGAACTTCAAACTATCTTACTTGATTTTGTTTTGGGACTAGCTTGCATTTAAGCCATATCATCTTGCGATCTTCTTTTTATAATTGAAAATATTGAGGAATTATTTTGTAATTGTGGGGAATTGCATGTATTGAGAGCAATCAAAGTTTTTATAATTTCCCTTTTTGATATGGTGGGGGATTCCGTGCTCTTACTTTGAAAGAAATATAAAAATTGAACTTTCCAACACCTGCCAAGCAAGAGTAATCATGCCCATTCGGATTTGTTTGCCAGGTTGTTTACGATGTTAAACTAAAAGTAACTAATCAATGAAACACGGCACATGGTTGTGGATGTAGATGAATCTTGTGTACCAAGTAACAGGGCCAAAAGTAGTTATGTTATGTGTGTACATGTACAGTATGTGTGTAATAACTGGCCTTGGCCTCGACCTTGGAGACTGTGGGCTCGGCCTCGAATGGCAGTGACTCGGTCTTGGCCTTGGTTTCGGAGACCTCAAACTTGGCCTTGGCCTCGAAGGTTGTGGACTTGACTCCAACACAGTTCAGTTTGTATTCCACTTCAATTTGTATTCAACCTCAATTTGTATTCCACTTTGCTTTTTTTGCATGACATTGGTCTGGCAAAGGAAGTTTTGGAAGAAATACAGGTACATGTAAACACCCGTCAGGGACCAAATTTTTAAGTGACAGTGTTCCTTTTAGATCTTTTTAGACTTGAGTCTCCCATAAAAGTTGGAGGGTAGTTGGATTAAAGCTATACTGCAAGGAATTATGTAAACATGTAGAAAAACTCTCCACTAGGTTGTCGTTGCTTACACCATAGCACCATTAAAAGCACAGTGTGTTGAGGAGTACTTGGCATATAGACAAGTGCCCAGTACTTGGCATATAGACAATTGGCCCAGCTCACAGTAGTCTGGCTCCCAGACTAGATGAATCTGACGAATCCCTTAGATTCAAAGGTCCGGTATTCACCCACTGTTGCGTGAATCCAAAAGCCAAGAATTTTCCAATTTCAGAAAATATTTAAAATATCCTGAATTTGAGCAACTGCACCAGTTAATTTGTTTAATTGGTTTTTGTACATCGAAATATATGTAAAAATCAAAATAATATATAAAATATCCTGAATTTGAGCAACTGAACCAGTTAATTTGTTCCATTGGTTTTTTGTACATCGAAGAATAATCTTTTTTCCTTGCATATTTTGTGCCCCTACTATTGTACATGTATAAAATACATCCCGAATATAAAACAATTGAAATGAAATAGCTTTTGGCCGGCTGAGACCACAGGCATAATTCCCAGGTGACCCCTGACATGTTGCATCATGGATTATTATTTAACTGTGATACCTTACCTAAGATTTTTTCAAGAGTCTGCGGGAATCCAGGAATCAGGTAACCAGGTTTAACTTTCAATGCATGTTTAAGTGTGCTTATCAGGCAAGTGGGAAACATTGCTCAGTGCCTCTTTTGATTCTGTAAAGCATGCCTCTTCTCAGGGCTACATTGTGGACTATACAGACAACAAAAATTATACCAAGTACGATTTAAGTTCTTTGAGTTTGCTTATAATTTATAATTTTACATGTTCCTTAAAAAAAGTGGATCATTAGAGTTATAAGTCTCTCAGGATTACTGGATGCTTTCTGGAATCAGGTCGCAAGGGAATGGAATTAACAACTGCATGTATTTGATTCCCCAAAAAACTTGAATTGCAATTCTGATTCCAAGTTTGGAATGGATTCGTATTGATTCCTGCATGGATTCATCCAACATTGAAATCCAGCATTTACATGTACTTTGCATACGCACATTTGCAAAATTGTTCTGGAACTTGAAATGCAAACTTGACTGGACAATTTGTAAATTTCCAGGATCTCTCGCTCAATACCACAACACACTGCAATTAGTCAACCGCAGACTACCGTTCGGCCATGCCCAAATTGGTAAATGCTTCAAGCAAACCAACCTGTCAGATCAGTTGGCAGATGAGAATGAGGACAGATATATTTTTAAGTAAGTGAAGTACAATTTAACAGTAATATTACTTCCTTTTGCACTATTCACTTTGTGTTTACAATTGTTGAATCCTCAACAAAATCTTTCAGATTTCTGAATTGATTATTGTTTACATGAACATTGGTAACAAATTTAATGGTGGCAACAGTAACGATGTGTAACCCAAGAAGAATGGGTAATTGTCAAAATGTTAACCACAAACTTTGAGTTTGTTGCTTTGAACATTTTACTTTTAAGTTTAAAGGCTTTTCTTTTTCTTTCCAGTGTACCTGAATTCACACAAATGATGGTACAGTTTTTCTGCTCCCCAAGGACAGCTGATCGTTGGATGATTGACTGGCAGCGAGACAGACTACAGTGGTGGAGAAAGGTATGGGAAATGGAATTTCTACTAAGCATATCGTAGTACTTCTCGTGGCCTACAAAAAAAGTTTAAATTTGCCAAAAATGTACATTGCAGTACTGAGAACTTCCTTTTGGATTCCCTGGATACAGGGGTGAGATTTCTAAGTTCTTCAATAAACAATATTTAGCAATTTGATGATGTCACCATACGGTCCACACTCCCCGCAGAGTTTTTTGTCCGGAGTGTGAAAACGGCTACAAAAGGACAAGAAGTCTTCCTGGTGTAACCCTGGCCCCATTTACGTGTAGGTCCAGGTTACAACAATGTAGTTATGTTTTATATCCCTGTGTATCTTAGACTACCTAGTTTTTTCTTTAAGATCATTTACTTTTCTTTTTTGGCTTTAGATACTTTTATGTCTGTCATCAGTAGCTTTAATGCCTTTGTGGTTTATGGTTCTTTCCCTTGTCAACTGGATGGGTTGACTGACCCCTCACTCAATGTCCTCTTTGAGGTCGCCTACGGGTAAGAGCCAGCCAGCCTAAAATTTTGAATTTCTTTTTGAGGATGAAGCCTTAACCAAAAGAATGGGTCAATAATCTACTATACTAAATGTAGACAATTCCTACTTAAGAAAACTCCTGTCTCCATAAAATCCTCAAGTTTGGCTTTCTAAGATGTACGATGTGCACATGTAGGTAATCACTGGTTTATATTCTACAACTTGAACAAGAAATTAACGTTATTATGCAAGTTTGTAGTGTTGAAAAAGACTTGAGTTGGCCAGATGGTGTAATAGGGCCTAAATTTGTGAGGTACCGAATAGGCTTTCGGACTATCCATCCTGATCTGGTGGTAGTCGGTTGAATAGATTTGATTTCCTCAGCCGATCTGGGGCTTAGGTGGGGGGTGTTTTGTTCCTTCTCAACAGGTTTTGTGGGTTTCCCTGTGTCCGCGAAACTGACACGCTTGGGAGTAGTAGAGTGTTGTGGGCCTGTCGTCTCAGGATGCTGCCGTTTTGGGTGGCAACCTCACATGACCTTGGTTATACTTCGCCTCCTTCAGTTTTGAATCAACTTGCGTTCTGCTGCCTGCTAGGGTGCCCTCACCAGTCTTTAAATGAAAAGACTCTTCCTGCCACACCAAGTGACCTCTGACCTCTTCTGCTTACTGCAATGGGTGCTTCGTGTGAGTAAATTATTTCGTGCGATTATTTCATTGATTTATACTTGTTATTTGTATGCCCTTTTGGTGTGTTATCATCCTTTGACTTATTTTCAGCCTTTCTTGAGGCTTTGTTTGTCCCAAACTCAGTTCTGTGGCTCACCAACCACACGTGCAGGGACCATGTCGGATGGGTCGGCAGATGAATCTGCGGTGTCACAACCCACGTCACGCTTCCCCACGCGGAACCGGGACGACCCTGATGATCATGTTTCGAGCTCTCCTATTGATCGGACAGTGGTATAAGACCAGATGCACACCTCCCTTTAGGGGGCCGTGATCAGGCAGAGGTATCACATACTGGATCAGGGCAAAGTGGTTCGATCTCCAGACCCCCACAAGATGGAGCTACAGTGGGGTTCTCATCCCAGCAAATGGAGGTCTTGACTACCATGCAGCAGACCCAAACTGAAATGTTTAAAGGCATGATCGAGAAAGCTTTTGAGAAAATAGAGACATGCCAAGAATGAGTCTCCTGTCCTACTTCTCGTAGGCAACATGCAGCTAGAAGTCATCGCACAGACAAACATGACAAACATAGATCGGTGTCCAAGTCTAGCTCCAGCAGAAACAGTGACTATATTTGGTCCTCAGATTCAAAGGGCTCAGCATCACTCTCTCCAGTTGGGAGAAGACAAGCTAGTGAGAGTGGTACAACCAAAGAAGATTTAATCTCATGCATGCTGAGAGTTTGCAGGACTTGGACCGGGATGATGCAGGTGGTCATAGCCATACTAATGAAAAAGAAGAGGTTTCTCCACTGCCTAATCCTCATGAAGGGGTTAAAGTGGGCCTCTTTTAACCAAGCAGTTCTTGATTGGTGGCAACAACAGCGAACCAATTCACTGGATCAGGCCAAAAAAGATGAGCTGTTAGAGGGCCTGACTCCTGATGCAACATTTGAAAGATACATTAGGGCTCCTGATATGCCCAAACCCATACAGTCTACAATGAAGAAGTCAAAAGTTGACGCCTGGAAGAATGACAACTCTGTATGGTCTTTGCAGGAAGACTGCCTCAACGCGGCAATTCCCGTTATTAAGGCCATAGCGGGGTATCAGAAGCTGCAAAATGAAGAGTTAAAACCCCTTTTTACTTCAGCAGAAGTTTGTTGGTGTCAGCAATCCACCACCTGTCTCTCTATCGGATGTGCTGAGCTGAGCCTTTTCTCAAAGAGGGCTATCTCCAAGATGTTCAGCCTTCGATGTCTTGCTTGTGTGGTGAAGAGTGGACCCAAAAGTGGATGAAGAAGAGAAGATTCACAAGGTCACTCAAAAGGTGGTGAAGAACTTGGCCAAATCCGGTTCATCTGCCCCAAACCTAAAGCATAAGGCCACAAGCCAGAATCAGTATACCAATCCGAAAGGTTGGTCTGGTAGAGAAAAAAGCAGTCACAGGTAGAGAAAAAAGCAGTCACAGGTATAGGACACAGTAACACCCCAATAGGTATCAGCCATACCCCTGTGATTTCCATACCAGTGACCGTTATCGGTCCCGCATGCAGATGCCCGAGAGGAAAGATTCTTTCCGTGGAGATAAGAAGTCACAGAAGACTTTCCCAAAAAACTAGGTCAGAAGGCAGACGACTTCAATTCTGTATCGAGCTTTGGGCTTTGTTATGCAGGGAATATCCAAAACCACATCACAGAATGGGAGAAACTGACAAACGACCCATGGATTTTGCAGAGCTTGGTTGGTTACAGAATCGAATTCTCACGAGACCCAGTACAGTACAAGGTGAACCAAAGAAATTCAGAGTATGATCCTCAAAGGGGCAATAGTAAGGGTACAGGACATTCCAGATCAATTCATCTCAACAATTTTTGTAGTACAGAAGGCCACGGGGGTTTCCGGCCAGTGTTCAATCTCAAGAGCCTCAACAAGTATATCCGCTCAGAACACTTCAAGATGGAGTCAATCAAACACGTGAAAAGCCTGGTGCAACAGGGAAATTTCATGGTTACAGTCGATCTGAAAGATGCTTACTTCATGAGTCCAATATATGGCCCCACACTGGAAGTTTCTTTGTTTCAAGTGGGAAGGTAAACTCTTCCAGTTCCAGGTAGTTCCCTTCGGGCTGAAATCAGCACCACGACTTTTCATGAAGTTGATGAACCATTGGTGTCCCATTTCAGACACAGATCGATGAAAGTGGTAATTTATCTTGACGATCTACTACTGATCTTACATACCAGGGCAGAATGCAACAAGCAACTGGCCTACATTCTCGACATGTTCAAGAACCTTGGCCTGATCGTAAATTGGGAGAAATCGCAACTCCATCCTACCACACAGATAAAATTTCTGGGTCATGTCATAGATTCTCGTCAAATGACACTGAGTCTCCTGAGGCCAAAAATCGACACCCTAGTGGAGAACTGCACCCAGATGGCCCAAAATCCCGTGCAATCAGCATAGGCCATGGTGAGTCTCATTAGAAAAATGAATGCTACAGCTGAAAATGTTGTACCATCACCAATTTTTCTAAGGGCCTTACAGGCGGATCTAATTCAGTCTGTCCAAGTAGATCCCGCTTACCAGAGTCTGGTCTCTCTGTCGGAAAAAAGTCTTCACGAGTTGCAGTGGTGGAAACAATGTCTCAGACACTGGAATGGCAAACCACTGGTCCTGTCACATCCTCAACTGACGATAACGTCGGATGCCTCAACTCATGGTTGGGGAGCTCATTGCCAGCTTGGCAAAATGGGAGGGGGGGGGAGATGGACTGCAGAGGAAAGCAATAACCATATATATTAGCTAGAACTTCTTGCTTCCTTTCTAGCCCTGCAGACCTTTGCCAAGAACAAGACAGATTGTCCCGAGTCTTTATGGACAGGTTAGAGTGGATGCTAAACCCAAGGTTATTTGCAAGGCTCTGCACACGGTTGGGGTTCAAACTGACTGTGGACCTGTTTGCATCCAAAATTAACTCCCAACTTCCCCGTTACGTCTCATGGAAACCAGATCCCGGAGCGATGATGATAGACGCCTTCTCAATACCATGGAGGAACGAACGCAGTTATGCGTTTCCGCCCTTTTGTCTCTTGGCTTAAGTCCTACGCAAGGTAGAAATGAAGGGGGCAACTCTGATGGTAGTCGCTCCAACATGGACTACTCAGGCCTGGTATCCAATGCTTTTGCAACAAGCCATAACAACTCCAGTTTTACTGCCACAAGGGAGTCATGTATTAACTCAACCCCACTCCGGCGAACCCCACCCTTTGATGCACTCCCTTCATCTAGCGGCTTGGATTGTCTCAGGAGACAGCATCGTACCGAAGGTTTTTCAGATGACCTTACCCAAGTCATGTTGGCCAGTTGTAGAGGCTCAACTCACAAACAATATCAATCAGCCTGGAAGACATGGGATCGCTGGTGTTGTAAATGATCGCTTGATCCAATTTCAGCACCTTTGAAGGATATCATGGAATTTTTGGTTGAAAGTGAGAAGAAGGGGCTCAGTTATCAGTCCCTTGGGGTTTACAGGTCAGCAATTTCACAATATCATGATCAAGTTGGTGGCAAACCAGTGGGACAATGCCCCTGCATCATTAAACTAATGAAAGGCCTTTTTAATTGTAACCCTCCCAGGCCTAGGTACCTCCTTACATGGGAAGCTGAACCTGTACTGAGATTCCTTTCACAGCTAGGCCCTTGGAGGTCTCTTTCCTTGAAGATGGTGACTTTGAAAATGGTGCTTCTCTTTGCCTTTGTTGCCGGGTTAGTGTCTTCTCTGGTCCACATAGATATCAATCAATTGGCGATCACAAGCAACTCGTTCAGGTTCATCCACTCCAGATTACAGAAACAAAGCCAACCTGGTCATCCACTAAAAAGTTAGTTTCTGCTACAATCCTGCTAGTTTCTGCTGCAATCCTGCTAGTTTCTGCTGCAATCCTGCTAGTTTCTGCTGCAATCCTGTTGGTTTCTGCTGCAATCCTGCTAGTTTCTGCTGCAATCCTGTTAGTTTCTGCTGCAATCCTGTTAGTTTCTCCTTCAATCCTGTTAGTTTCTGCTGTAAGTAAGTAAGTTGTAGTCCAGTAACTCTTGCTGCAATCCTGTTAGTTTCTGCTGCAATCCTGCTAGTTTCTGCTT